TTCCACAGGGGTGTGGATCACACTCAGTCCCACAAAGTGACTCATGAAAGTCACAGCCTCTTGCACTGTACATCCAGTGGGGTACTGGTGCAGAGGGCAGTGCCACTCCCTGACTCATCAGCACCTCCTCTGGCAGCTCAGCCAGTTCTCCTAGCTGCTGTGTATTGACTTGGTCTACTCTGCACGTCCACAACAGAGAGCTCTGGGAAGCCAATACTGCAACAAGAAATTGGCCCTCAGCCTCAAGAGCAGCCTCATATTAGTCACCAAATAACTCAGGATGATCCTATGACTCATAATTTATTATGCCTGTGAAGACTGTAAACAATCAGATTCAGTGCTGTTGACCCCCATTTGCCACACTTCCAGTAGTGACATCAATCAAAGTAAGTGGGAGTTGGCTCCTTATCTCCAGGAGCAATAACACCTTAGAAGAAACTCAGAAGATCTGCTCAGGAGTGTCCAGCTTCTCCCAGATGTGAGGTCCTTGCAGAGCAAAAAAAAAAAGGCTTGAACCTTCTAGCAAGCTGCCCAACATAAGGAAGGGGACTTGGAGGAGAAATGAGTCAATTCAAGCTGTAAAGACAAAAAGTAGAGGTGATTGACAGGAAGCTGAATTTCCAGAAGTTAGTTCCTGCACAGTTTTCTCAGTAGTCAGGTGAGGTGTTTCTTTGAAAGGATTGAGTCCGACATAAAGCTCTATGGGGGCTTTCGCTTCTGCATTCATGGTGTCAGAGCTGAGGACAGGCAGGAGGGGCAGGGAGCGGTGCTGGTGGGAGCTACGCTTCTGGAGAAGAGGCCAATGACGCAAACGTATACTCCCTGGGTATCCATATGTTCATGGCACAGGCTGCCTCCAGTGCCAGCAGGTTCTCTGTTATGTGAGAAGGACAGGAAGACCAGGAAATCAGACAGCAGCTTGGATGTCTTTCCAAAGTGTACACCATAGCTCAAGTAAGAGTTATCGGCAAATGAAGGCAAAGGTCTCAGACAGGTCATGCTTCTGGCCTTAAAATCTCTGAAGAGGCGATGAAACTGAATTATTCGCTTAAGTTGATCCTTTTGCTCATCCTGTGCTGCCTCTCCCAAACTGTGCATAGGGCTTGCAGCTAAGGGGTTAGGCCTCTCCCCTTTTTGATTAGATAATGCTCCCACTGAATGGGGTTGTATGCCACGCTTTTCCACAGTTGTACATGAAAGGCCCAAGGGCTTGTGTGAATCACACCTATCCTGCACACTTCAGACCCATTTGACCAAGATTCAGAGGTAATGGCATCCAGTGCCAAAGCTTCTCACCTCCAAGTTACCACACAGCCTGGGAGCGAGACATCCTGACCAGCATCCCAGATTGTTATGGCATTACATGAGCCTCCCTGTGGAATGTTCAGCAGGAATTGCCACTCATCAGCAGTCCTGGCAGGGGGCTGAGCAGAACCAGATGCCTTTCCCAGCCCGGGTCCCACCATGCAACACACTACAAGCATGGAGTGCACCAATAGCTCTCAGAATAGCTGGCAAAGGAGGTGTCAAAGTAACCCCCGAAGTAAACCCCTGCTGTGCTGGCATCAGGCTTGTAGCACGCCTTCTCCCTGCTGCATGCACCAGGCTTGGCCAGGAGACAGGCAGCACAGTGGGGATGGGCAGCAGAGGCACCTGGTACTAAACACATAGAAAAGCCTATGGCAGCAGGTTGCAGTGAGCACACTGCAACCTGATGCCTAAAGGATGCTTGGGCACTCTCAGGCTAGTGAGGGATTGTGCTTTTTTCTTCATCCCCAAACAAGTGTCTGGGGCATCTGAAATGGCAAAGTAAAAATAAAGAGCATGAACCAGCAAGATTAGCCTTGTATCACAATGTGCTACAGCCCAGAACTGCAGATGTTTCCTAAGAGTTGTCACTGTGCAGCATTGCCTGCCTGAAGGTATGGAGGTGGCTCAGGCAGGAAGTTTGAAGAAATCCTTATGGAAAGGCTTTTTTGGCCTTGGGAGACCAGCCTTGGGCAGGTAAATAGGTGGCACTTGCCCAACAAGCCCATTTCCCTGAATAAGTTTGTAATCACCTCACACGCACAGCGAGCTGCACCTCTGGGAGATACTACCCTGGTATAGGCAGCCAGCAAACCACTGACGTTTGAAGGAGAACCTGAACTTTGTCCCCTCCTGAATGCAAAACCCCAAGGCCCTCCCAGCTCCCCACACCAAAGGGCAAGCCTCCCCCAAAGCTGCAGTCAGGCGCTCTTTGCATTCCTTTCACACCCTCCTTCACTGCTGGTGCAGGGTATTTCACCTCCCTGCTCTTATCCACAACTCGCCACCTCTTATGAGATATGGAGTACTTGGCTGGAGGTCCAGGCATGAGCGTCTGGTTCCTCTGGGATGGCCAGCAGCTCAGCCTCCCCATCATGCATGGCATCGGGTGCTGTGGGGCACAGCGGGGGGGGGGGTCAGCAGCTGCCTGTGGGGTGGCACAGTGCCACTGAGGCCACAGTGCCCTGGCCCCGAATGGACACCTGGGAGCAAGCATGGTGTTTGTACAGACTGGGACTGCAGACCTTGCGCTGGATGATTGGGATTAGCCTTGAATTTCAGGCATCCCAAGCACAGAGAGACTGCCTGCACACTCACCACGTGGTCTATGATAAAAATACCCATCTCTCACTTCCAAAGCTCCCACGGGCAGACAGTGGAGGACACAGCCTGTGGAATGAATTTCCTTTGGGTTTCCAAAGTCCTTTGAGGGACCACGCTGAAGGACAGGAGCTTTATAGGCATTTCTAACATAGACACTGCAGCTGGTGGTGGAGCCCAAGCAAAGCCTGGCTAACTTACAAATCCAGAGCAGAGGACATCAGCAACAATGGGTTAAACCAGCTAGCAGGTACCAAAAGTGAGAGAAGGACTGGGTTTCCAACCCTTTATTCCATTGCCAGTGGGGTTTTCTGTTGTGTCTGTCTGTCCAGGATACCCTTTTCTGCCTTTCATAGTGCCTCCGCTTTTTTAATCCCACAGAATAAATGTGGGAGGCACGAGGAAAGCACCAGCCAGCTGCCTGAAGATAGCATTTTAATTAGCCAGCAACCAAAACATGGACGTGACCAGAAGCCTTTCTTGCGCGCAGGGTGAAAGGCTGTATGCCGAGATCAGAGTGCCAGCCTGAAAACCTGGCCTCCCTCCCTGTGTCCTCACCTCACCTCGGGACAGGGCACAGGCAAGCCAGGTGAGAACTCTGGGCAGGGTGAGGGGCAACTGCACTCCTGCATCCCAGCTCTTCCAGAAGCAGGGGCCTCAATCATGTATAGCCTCTCCAGCCAGCCTGAGCTCACTTCCAAGACCAAGCTATAATTACTCTCCTCATGAGAGGTGACATCCCAGTTATATCAACCCTGAAGGGTAAAGGAGAAGAGCTGGACTGCTTCTAGGGTCCCAGGTCCCTCATTAAGAGTTGGCTCGGGCAGGTTCTTGCTTCAGTTGTTTGAGGCAGCTACCTTGGTTCTGCTGCAGCCACACAAACAAATTCTTTGAGTTGTCCCAGCTGAAATGTGCCATCCAGCCAGGCATAGCCTGTCTCATGGAGGAGGTGGCTACCAGGTCACCTGGCTCTGCAGATATGCTATTTCTCCTGAGTCCTTAGAGGTAGAAAAAGAGCTCCTGTCCTCCAGGCACCAGGAGCAGCCAGCCCAGCTTGCCATTGGTGGGCAGGGTTTGATGTGTTGTGACTGACAGTAGGAACCCGCTGACTCATCCTTCTGGGAGATTTGGGTCACATTTTGCTGAGATTTCACATTCAGCTCAGCCCAGGGGAGCAACACTGACCTGCCAGTTTCAATCTTTCCAATTTGATGACTTGTAAACATTTCCCAGGTCATACAGAGACAGTGCAGGTCTCCTGAGGATAGGCACACTGTCTTCATCATCTTGCACAGCCATCTGGGAAACAGTCCATAGATCCACACAAACCAAAATCCATAGTGGTGAATACGCAAAGGAAGTAACTCCTTGGGTTCCTCATGCAGCAACATCCAGCTGGCCCTCGCTCACCTTCTCACCTCACTGCTGTACTCCACAAGATGTTACTGAACAGAGTGAACCAGAGCATCCTCAAGTACTCATCCTCTTTTCTCCACTCTGCTCTCTGCAGAGGAAGTGACGGCAGATCCACCTGTTGAGCTACCCAAGTTCATCCAAAATAAAAGCCAGATCCTTTACCTTTGCAAGAGCAGGACAATGCAGCCATGAACTCGGGGATCTGTATTAACCTGAGTGAGTCACCTTCCAGACATCCAGGAACATCCTGCATGCTCCTTTCCAGCGTGGTCAGATGACTGACACATGACACACTCATCTCCATGGCTGACGAGGAAATGACATTGCTGTCGAAGAGCTTTTCCTCCAAAGACCCCAAAGCACATCATAAAAGATACAACAGTATCAAAATCCCTCATGAAGTGATGAGCATGGTCAGAGCTGGTCTTTGTTCAGTGCTGTCCAGGATGAGGAGGTCATGCCAAACCATTACTGACAGCAGGTTACATACACACTGCTCCAACTGCAAACACCAAGTCCATTACCAGGAAGAGCAGGCTCAGAGCCTTACTTTCATCTTGGATTGTAAGCTCCACTGGGATCGCCTGTATAGTGCCCAGCTCACAGGCCTTGGCTCCTGGACAAGACAGAGGCAGGGTTGGGACCATCACCACACTCCTTGGCATCAGGCTGGGAAGGAACCCAGGAGTTCTGCCCCCTCGGTCCTGCCCATCAGAACACCCTCTTCTCACCAAGCAGGGAACTTGGGCTGAGTTCCATACAGGGATTCTGGTGCCTACCTCCCGGTCATTGCTACGGGCTTTGGTACCTAGATGCTTTTGGAGGCTCTGTGCCCAAATCCAAGAGTCCAACTAGCAGGTTGCTGATGCCCTGTAGCCTCCAGAGGTAATACTGGAGGAACTGTTACACAATGGAAGAAAACCAGGATGCAAGGTAGAAGGAGAAGGCAAAGGAAATCAAGATCAGAATTAAATTCTTTAATACAAAAAAAAGTTTGTTTGTCGTCGTCGTCGTCGTTTTTTAAGATATATCTGTAATTTTTTTGTTTAAAAATAAATATGTACTAAGGAATATCTTGAAAAAATTCACTAGACACAATATGTAGTGTTAATATCTTTTTTCCCCGCAATTATTACAGATAAACAGTAGCACCAATAAATAAAATGATAACAAATATTAAAATTAAAAAGGAGAGAGATTCAAGATGTAGAATTTTCTATTTTTCCTGCTTCTTCTTTTTACATATATAAAAAAATCGTAGCGTCTATTTAATCCGAATCACACATATACATAAACATATATATATATACAAACACATAGCCAAATATATATATAGTATGTAGATGTATATCTAACCCTTGTCTCAATAGGAATGTGTAGGGGTAGGTGTTAGAGAAATTAATTAAATAACTGCCCATAACATGCTACTGACTCTGCCAACAATTGGGGAGATAAGGGATGGGACAACAGGAAGGTTAAATTTATACACAACAAGTACAAATAAAAAAAAAAAGGTACGGCTTATAAATAGTTGAAATTAAATATTAACAAAGAATACTGAAAAATCCCTACTCTTTAATTAAATTATCTGTTTAATTTCTAATTTAAAAAGGGATATTAAATAAGTATATAAAACACTTTCTCTTCCCTCCCCCCGATCGGAAGCCTCTGTCTTGCGCACGATGCAGCATGAGTATTATACATTGCAGATGCAAGCACCCACCCATGTGTTTTCTCTCCTTCTGAAAGCCATCGGTTGGATGGGGAGATCCTAGTGGTTAGTAGTCACTTGTTGTGAGTCTGTTTTTAGACTGTCTTGTCTTTTTGGAAGCTTTCCGTGTTGTACATTATCAGGCGTTGAAAATACAATTGCAGATGATGTTTGGCAGCATTCTGACACAGACCGAGTACCTTTTTGATTATTATTATTATTAATAATAATTTTAATCACAGAACTAGATTATATATATCCACATAGATGTACAAACACACTTTCGGGGGGTGTGTGTGTGTGCGCGCATGCGTAAGGTGGGTTTCACATACACCACAGTGTATATTGCCGATACACACATAGCCAAGATTCTCATGACATGGCTAAGGGACTCTGCCTGCCTTCACATTTGATTCCCCAGCTCAAGACGTGGAAAAGGGGCCTGATATTTACAGTATGTCATAAAAAAAAAGTCTTGACGTTCTTAAGGGTCATTCACACTGGGCACGCAAACTGAAGGCAGCAAAATTGCTTCCTTTTTTCCCCCTTCAATCTTGGCATACAAATATATTATTTTTTTTATATATATATATGTATAAAAATAAATATATATATATAAAAAAGAGAGAAAAACACATACATACATACATACATACACACACACAGACACAAATGCATACTTTCACATACATACGCACACACACCCCCTACTGTGTATATACTTTTGATTAATATCCCTTTCCAGAAATGTTCCGTAAGCATCTTGGATGCTCTTGAGTGGCAGCTCTGTGCATGAAGAAAGCAGACAGTGCTGAACAACTGTGTGGCTATGCACCGGTCCCCATTCTTGCTTCAGCACACTGTAGACCTTGTGTCCTTTTGCAGCCACCAAGGGCGGGAAATCTAGACTCCTGTGATACTTCCGTGAATGGAAAGTTAGTGCGCATCAGCTGCCCACCATCCTTAAGAGAAGCCAGCACGTCTCTCTGGCAAAGTTTCTATAGCAAATAAAGTCAACGCAAAATGTACACTGACATCCCATGTCCCAGCAAGGCAGGCAGATTATGAGACGAGTAAGGGCGAAGGTTGGGGGAAGAGAGGGGAGGAGGAATCCTTGATCACGGAGATGGCCATTTCCTTGGCCTTTGACCCATCGCACCACCCTAGGATGCCGCTCTTTGGAACTCCCTGCCCATCCTCTCCATCACCTCTCCTCCCTGTCCCAGGCAAGGAGAAGGTGGTTTGTGGTACAGCACACTCTACAGAGAAACAGCGGAGGCCGCACAAGTCAGTTAGAGTTAAGAAGTTTACACCCAGCGCTTCTACTCAGTCCAGTCTTAGCTTGTTTCTTATGCCCCAAGTAGCCCGCTTGTGTCCACAGCAGTCGAGTATTATCCAGTGAAGACACCAATAACATTAGCAATGTTAAAAAAAATAATCAGTATATATATATATTATATATATATGTGTGTGTGTGTGGTTAAGATATACATATATGTATATATAGATGTGGTTAAAATATATATACATATATATATATGTATATGCATGTATACACACATATATATGTATGCATGGGAAAACCCATCAAATACACCCCTATAAGTCTTCCTGGCTCTGTTATTTAGCAGCATGAAAAGAAAAATAAAATAAAACAGTTCAAAACCCAAAGGTGAATTCTGTGCGGCGGGTGCCTTGGGGAATGTTCCTTCCGGAGTCCATCGTCCGTACTGAAAGTGCTGTGCTCTACCGATCCTTCATTTTTAGGGTTCATTTGGATTAGTGTTTTGTTTTTTTCTGTCCAGGCGAGAAATCAGGCTCCAGAAACAGGGCTGTTCCCCCTTCTTTTCCGCTGCTCACCGTCTCGGTTTTTCACATCTGTCAAAGAGGAGAGGGAAGGAAAAAAAGAGAATGGGGTTAATTTTTGTGATGAGGGTGCAAGTAGGACAGAGAAGGGGTGGCTACTGTGTTTAAGAGCACATGGTGTTAAGACATGGCATGATGTCACTGGTGGGGTGAAATGCTGTGCAGATGGGGCAAATCAGCTGAGAATCTCAGTCCCACGAATCAGTCGATGAATTCTACTCCCCCAGGCTCACCTATACGGAGTGGGGGGAGATACTCGTACAGGGGTAAATTTAGGAGCAGAATCAGTGGCTTCCTCACAGATGAGCTGAGTGTTTTGTTTGCACCCTTTCACACCATGCGCACACAAATACACACAAACACACAGGAAAACAAGGCTAAGCAATGCATGCAGAAGGACACAACCCCTCAGCTCTCCACCTAGCCTCTTGTTTGGGTCGGAAGCAATGCAGCCAACAAGGCCTCATGCAGGCAAGAAGGTGAAAAGTGTCTTTCATTCCACTAGCTGCCATGAGCAGAGGTTAGCACCAGAGAACAGCAGCAGCCTGAAGAAGCAGCAGGAGAAATGAGAATTTGCCCTCCCCCATTGGGCCCAATTCTAAATCTAAGAAAGAGCATGAGGAACTTCAGTTTAATCAGCTTTTTATCCGGAAACTGATAATCTAACCACTCCTATAACTCCTTCCTATTTTTCTGGCCAACGCACCAACCTCCCTTAGTGCCAATTATCCCATCACAGTGAAATTAGTAAACCCCTTCTGTCATCATGACTTCTTGGGCTATTGTTTGGCTTTTCTTTGTATTTGTTACTATTTCTCACCCTTCAAACTTTGTGGGGTAATTTTCAGCTATTCTGGGCTTTGGGACAGCAGTAGGGGGAAAAAGGCCAAAGGTCTCAGGCTTCCGGGGTTTCGCTCACTAGGAGAAGTTTAACTCCAGAAGTTGCTCTATTCTGGCCCCTCCATCAATTACTCTCCCACTGAAATTAAAGCATCTCAGAAAAATTCTCTATATACAGAGCAGTTTCCACCACCCTGGCAGTGCCAAGGCCTCTCTGGTTTGGGCACAAAGCATTTTCATCTCCTAGATCTCTGTGGAAAGGATCTGAGTTCACAGTCAGAGCCAAGGGCTCATTAGCAACCCCATTTCTATGTCTCTCTCTAGACAGGTTGGATGATCCTACACCAGAGATGCACACATACCTTGTGCGAGTCAAGATACCCCACTGAGTTCACCAAAGTGCTCAGATGGGAAACAAGAATCAGTTTCTGCATGTGTCTATGCCACAGATGGTGTGTGACAGTCCTCAGATGACACATGCACAGCATGGGTCTCTAAAAAAACACCAACCCCACAGTGCTTTTGCATCTCCCACCTCACACCTGAATACGCATCTCTGCCTTCACCCAGAGACAGACTTAATCCTGCTGTATCCCATGTCACAGACCTGAATGCTGCCCCTCAAACCACAGCTCTGGACAGGACATGGACAGGGAACTGTGAGCACAGTGCAAGAGGACAGGCTGGTCTCCCTGGATTTTAGAAGAACAAAGAGGCAAAGGAAAATGTAGGCACAGCCTTGAGGGAGGTTCCTGGTGGCTTTCCTCATTCTGCACACAGCAGAGCATCTCATCTACAAGCCACAGAAAAAGGGCTTGGAAGACAGGGGTGATTAAATCCTAGTCAGTCAAGGATTTGTCTTTGTCTAACAGTATGCTCAGAGTCGCATACAGATAATGTACAGAGGGCTACAGATCCTCCCCTGGCTACCTCAGCAACATGAACTCCATTATCTTGTTCTACGATACAGGATACCTGAGAAAGAAATGCCTTGTCTCAGGGAGCCGTCCCCGTCCAAGTCCTGACAGCACATCTGAAACGCACAGCTGCCCTCTGAACCAGGGAAAATCTGTCCTCATCCCAGTTAGCCCCTCTGCCCTCTGGCCCATGTAGGACAGAGAAAAGAAGTAACCATATAGCACTGGTGCCAGAAGTCAGCAGGAAGCAAGCTCCCCCCCTCTTTCTCTTTCTCTCTCTTTCTCTTTGTGTGTTTCATCCTTCAGGACACAAACCTGCAAGTGCGCTCGTTTAACTCAAGCTGCCTCGACTTGCAACGTGAGTCTGTGAATTTGCAGGAACATTTACAGGTCTGGGGATCTTGTACAAACAAGTGCTTTCTCCTCTCTGAGCAAGGCTCACAGTGACTGCAAAAAGGCAAAAGGAAAGATGTCTAAGCTACAGCGCTTCAGCAGAAAGAAAATACACATGCAACACCCTAAACATCAAAGCAATCCCCTTGCCCCCTCCCGCAGCCCCCATGCTGCCCACTGGAGTGTCGCAGGCTGGTGGATTTTCCAGCAGCACTCCGACAGCCCCAGGACAGCACCCCCTTGCATTAGCGTAAAGAGAAAGAAAACAGGCCTTCTGCACAGTATTCACAAATGCTGCATTGGATCCATCGGCTCAGGCCAGAGGGAGGAAGAAGGGGAAAGCAAGGATGGGAAGGTGAGAGGTCCCAGCCAGCTACTGACATATCAATGAAAGAAGTTCTCTGAAGTGGGCTATTTGAGTAGAAAGAGGCCAGTGGCTAAATGAGTTAGATACACAGGGTCTCTGCTCCCCTGGAAAGTAGCTTACCCCTGCAGCTGGCACTGCCCTCCTTTTTGTAAGCCCCATCTCAACCTGGCCACCTAGGAGTCTCCTACAGAGGAGCCGTGAATTAACAATGCAGAATTTTGTGAATCACCATAAGAGAGGCAGAACAAAAGAGACAGTGAGAGAGACAGTGAGAGAGAAGCCACCAAATCCAGCAGAAAGAGAGAAACAAAAAAAAAAACAAGAGAGCGTGCCCGCCCCAGTTCCCCAGCACCCCCTCTCCAGCTTCCCGCTGTCCCACCTCTCCTCTCCACCTGTGACTCCACCAGACACACACTCACACGTGCGCACACACATACACACACACATGCATGGCAGATGCCAGCCTGCCTGTCACCAGTCGCCATAGCAGTGAGGGCACAAGACGAATGGGGGAAAGCAGGTGAGTTGGAAGGCATGAAGAGGTGCAAGGCACTCGCCCATCTACCTGCACTCTTGTGCCTTGGGAAAAGAGTCGCCACTGATGATTAGAGAGCCAAGCAAGCTAGAGCCGCCTTCCCTGAGACAGCCTTAGTGCCAGAGTGGTGCCACCACCAGTGCCGCCCCTGCAGGATCCGCGGCCCACCAGTGACTGGGAGGGGAGGGTGAGATTTGAGTGAGCAGCAAGCAGGCAGATTGGTTTGGGGAGAGGGAGGGAAGAGACTCTACAAGCAGAGGACACAAACGTACAAGCTGAGTGGTTTGTACCGGCCTTTCTTGCGCTTTCTCTTTTGACCCTTCCCCTTTCCTCGCTTTGATTTTCTGGAAGAAAAACAAAAAAAAAAAAAGAGAAAGAGAGAGAGGGAGGGAAAGAAAGGGAGAGAGAGAGAAAATGGAAGAAAACGCAAGGAAGAAGAGAAAAAAAATACAGCCATGTGCCTTGCTGGGAGGGGAGCAGCACATGAGGCAGGACTGGAGGGTAAATCCCAGGGCCGAAGCACAGATCTCCACCTTGCACACACATTCACTGGCCCTCCGGCGCTCCGGTCAGCACCACAGCCAAGCCAAAACCAGGGTACTCAGCAGAGACCACCTCCAGCAGAGCTGCTGCGAGCAGAGGTGGATCTGCTGAAGACTCAGATGGGCACCTGCCCCCTCTGAGAGGGGCAGTGGGAAAGGGACAGGGGGTGAGGGAGAAGGAACAGAAAGCTTGGTGAAAGCGTCACGCAACCGCAGTGAGTGCAGACAACCATTCCAGGCAACAAGCACGGGCGTACACCAATCGGCAAGAGGCAACCTGAGTGAAAGGGTTCTCTCCAGGGAAAAGGAAACCACTCTGACCTGATGCACTGCCTGGCACTGGGTCTAGGCAGCAGTTGAGCTCCAACAGCTCTGCTGCAGGGCTGGTGGCAATGCTGCCTTGGGATGGGAGCCTGGCCTCAGCAACCCACAGACAAGGGGATAGATCTGGTCTACACAGCACTGCTGTGTGGGAGAGGACTATCTAACCTGAAGGCTTTGCTCATCCACCCCACTTCCTGCCTGTGGTTCAGAGGACTCCAGGACACCCTAGTAGAATGTCTGAAACATCCCCTCTGGCAGTCTCCATCCTGAGTACTGAAGGGGAAAGAGGGAGAAAACTGACTTAGTTATTCCTCTCAGGAGATAACCAGCAAGCAGCTTTCAGTTCTTCCCTCCTTTCCTTCCTGTCACCTTCCGCAAGGATCTGCCAGACAGACAAGCAGATGGAGCCAAGGTATTAACTCCATTCTGAGAAATTCACCAGTTGCCTCTGACTCTTGGGCAGGAGCTGGGACAGGCAGGGGCTAGGACATGCAGTCCTGGACACTAACCACAGATCCCTATGGGCCATTGAGAGCACAGGGAGCAAGGGAGGCTGGAGCCTGTGCTGCTCCTTGAGCCACACTAGCACAGGACCAAGGGAGAGACATCCAAGGAGAATGCCCTAGGCAAAGCACTAGGGCTTCTCAGGTAAATGAGTCCCAGCTCTGAGGCACTTCTCCAAAGGCTCCCTCGTTCCCTGTTGCAGCCTACCTTGGGAGAGAGCTGTCAAAGGGAATTGAGAGGCAGAAGAGAAAGCACCATAGGTGTTTCCTAGGCCCTGTTCAAGTCATCTCACTGGAACAAGTGTCAGAGCATCAGCTCAATCCCAGTTCTGCCCTACATGTCAGGCAGGAGTCACAGGGAGATGGTGAGGGGAGGAAAATCAACCTGAAGGGAGGAGAGGGGTACCAATATAACGACTTTCAATCCAGCACAAATCAAAGTACACCAGCCTCTCCCATCCCTTCCCTTCCTTCCCTGGGGAGTGCAGAACCAGCAAAGAGCAGGCAAGGTGCTGTTAGAAGAGGAAAGTGAATGCAACACAGTTGGAGCTGGCTGCTACACCCACACCCCATCCTCACCAGAGTTCACACAGACCAAACTCTTGCACACCTGCAAACCACAGCGCCACACAGACCAACCGTCCCCAACACGGCCCTGCGCACAGAGGAGTGTTGGCTGCACACAGCCCGATGCAGCCAGGAGCAGATTTCCAGGGGGAGGAGGAGAGGCTGGAAGGCAGCTAGAAATATACAACCACCAGGAGAGGGGTGAAAGAAGTTCTCTCACTCTCCTGTTTGCTCCCTCTGTCTCTGTTTCAGCCTCATCTCCAAATATTCACCCCTTTCTTTCCAACTCTGCACCTCTAAATGGCAGAGTTGCTTTCCCAGTCATGCGCAGTCCAGCTGACCCTCTCACCCAGAGAGGTCACTCCTTCTTTTCAACAGTGTTTCACATTTTGTGCTCATTCCTCAGACTACTGAAGGATGAGAGCTTATATTTTTACTTCCACAACCTCTTTACTTTGGGGAAGAAGTAAAGGGAAGGTCGTGCCTTAGCCTCCTTCACATCACCAGAGCAAATCCATCAGATTGCAAAAAACCCTTATGAAAGCCTCCGCCAAGACCCAGCAAGGACATCCACCTCCCTTCATACCCTCCCAGGTCCCCACCCAACCAAAACCAGTGTCACATCCTGCATGGCATCAGTCCTGCCTCCACCAGGCCTTTATTGCCACCTCTCCCAGTAGCCAGCAAAGTTCCTACCAAAGCTGCTGTGAAAGAAGCCAGCAAGTACTCACTCAAGCAGCAAGAAAAAAATTAATAATAAAGAAAGGCAGCGATTTGCAGTAACCAGAAACACCCCAGAAAGAGGGAAGGGAGAATGGGGGCTGCACCTTGAATCCATACTGGTAGGACAGACACGACGGCATTTCCCTGACTTGGGATAATGCATAAGGAATGACTGCCATGGCCATGGGTCATGGGGTATGAAGGAAGGACCATCAGATCTGGGTTTCTGTGCCCACCTGGAATGGATTCAGAGTGTTGCTCCATGCACTACCATACGCCATTTCCAAAAACACCTTTTCAAAGTGAGTATCTCCAACCAAAGAAAAGGGCAAGGGGCAGTGGGGCAAGGAAACACCAACCAATCACCAAAAGAGGAAGGAGGAAAGGCTTGTCACTTACTTTTCTTGTTTGTTTTTGACATCTTTCTTTGGTCTGCGGGGGAAGAGAGAACAAAGGCCTCATTAGAAAAGAGCTTACCACATATACTTCCAGTATTATCCCCAGTTCCCAACAAGTCCAGGGAAAAACATGTACAGTCAGCATTGTAGGATGCCCACGGCACAGGTTAAGTCATCCGTCTCAAAGTGTTTGCTCTCCTGTTGCACCTCACTGGCAACCAGTGCCAAAAGATCCCAGGTTGCAGACTAGCACTGTCCACCTGTGATAGCTAGAGATGGAGGAGCCCTGCCAGCAAAGGATTTCTTTTCCCAGGCTTGGCCATCCCACTGCAAACCAAGTGAGGAGACTGCAGAAGCCTCTGAACAACAGTCCCAACCCAAAGGCAGAAAAAAGCAAAGGCTCAGAATAAGTTTATTGCAAGAGGAACCAGTGCTGCTCCATTCTCACCTGCAGTCACATTTACTGTGCTGTAAGAAGCTCATGTGTGATATGTGCTGACTCTGATGGGGTTTAATTCTCATGATCTGGAATGAAAGAAACAGAGAGGGTCACTGCCCATTCAGTCTTCATATTCACAACTCCAAAGCAGCCTGCTGCACAGCAAAGCATTTGCACCCCAGGTGCTCATGGGAAAAGCATGGCAGAGTTTGAGCTAGCTTTGAGGCCCTGTTCTCCCAGTCAGGGAAGGCCTTTGATCACAAGCAAGCAGCAGCAACACCAGACTTGTGCCAAAGCTCTTGTTTGCTCATGCTTGCCAGGTGCCAGCACTAGTGGACTGCCTTGGAGACAGGCATGGGAGAGGGTATAACACCATAGCAAGGTTCTCACTGAGCCATCCCTGGTTGATGCTAGAGCAGCAGTAAGAGAACATCCAGCCTGCTCACGCAGAAGCAGTACTTCAGTCTAACACACAGGCCCAAAACATATCTAACTGCTTTTTCCCTAGGCCATTCCTTCCCGGCTGACACCTCACTTTCTCAGTGACTCAACACACAAAATAAACCTGAAGATCTGTGCTTAAAAGAGCCCTGCAGAGCCAGACATTACCCAGCCCCCAATCCCAGGTGCCTCCAGGGAAGTTATATTAGAAGATATGTAATATTGTCACAGTCTCTCAACCCAGAACATGTCCGGACCACTCTAGCATTTTCACCAGAGATCTGCTTAAGAGCCTCTGACCCTTTACAGGCATGCAGGCATACCAGCCAAGAACTGCAGTTCAGCAAGGAATGGTAGGAAGAAAAACATCCCTAGCTACATCATGCTAGTATGCTCTGGTCCAGGCTGGAGCCTGCAAGGGGAAAAGCAGTATAGGGAACCATGGAAGGGGACAGACTGGTTCTCCAACAGAGTTTAAATACAGCTCAAATAACAAGTAAAAAGAGCCTGCTGGGTAATCACTCAGCACTGCAAATCTCTCATCAATATCAAAAAGTGATGGTAATATTTACTGTGGCTGTTCAAGAGCCTGAGGGACAAAAGTAGATGAGGGAGCTGTGGGTTATGGATATGGGGCACCAGCACCATTTTGGACACAAGCTGGGATCCAGGCTGACAGAAAAGGGCAGTAATAAAGCTCTCTAAAGCAGTTTGCATCTTCCCCACTTGCCTAGCCTTTGCAATCATGGCCATCTCTGTCTCTTCCAAGGAATGAATTCAACAGCCTCCAAACAAAGGAGGAAGATGCCCAGAGGCAGAAAGGCTTTTACACTTGACACTGAAGCAGTGTGTTTCTTAGAGCCCCTTTCATCCCTGCTGTGCCAGCATAGCTAATGACCCAAATCCCCTGCACCCCTGGTACAGGCTGACCTCAAATGCCCTGCAGGAGAGAGTACTGACAGGTTCTCCCCTTTCGCACTACTCAGCTGCCTTCAGAACAACAGCTGTATGTACCAAATGCAGAGTTAAAGTGGAACAAGGGCCCAAGGAGCATCTTCTTTGGGAACTCAGAGGTAATACCACTGGAAATGCTCCTTAGCATTCTCTAAGCACAAAGTGCTCCTTTGCAGAAATGCTGCTTTGCATCCTCCTAGCTACCGTATTTGGTCAAGTGCCAAAACCAGATTCTCCTCTTAGCCTCAAACAGACACAGGCAACTCATCTTTTAGCCCTGCATGGTGTAACACTGGGCACCAGGGTCAGGAGAGGGTTTCCCTGGGGTAGGCTGCCCTTCCTCTGAATTAGCTGGGAGGTGGGACTGAAGAGTGGTTGCGATGGCTGTCTTGCTTCCTTCCAATCAAGCATGGCAGATTGCAAGTTGGGCCCTCACCTCCATCGTGACGTTGTACACATCCACAGGGACACATTCTAGGCCCTCATCGCCGCAGCAACCCGCACATCTCATCAGAGGCACACAGGATGGCTTGAATATGTACTCCACCTCATCAGGGTACTCCTGGAAAATGTCCACCAGGGTCTCAATTGTCCTGCAGAAGCTGCGCTCGTAGACTTCCAGGAATTTGATAACTAAAAGGAGGAATGGAGGGAATAAGTTAATGAAAACTTAGCTCAAGAATGTCTAGTGCTTTGCCCCTTAAAATGAGCCAGACAGTTGCAACACAACTACCCTGTGCTTTTCACTAACAGTCTTGCAGGCCTAAGTCCTTTGTCTGTGCCCTACATACACACACACATAAGTGGGGAAGAGAAACAGACAATCTCTTCCTACAGCTGCTTCGGGCAGCGGCAAGATAGACAATATTTGTCTCAATATTTCTCTCCCTGATGCGTGCCACAGGTGACTCTTCCCAAACCCCTTCTCTGCTATTCCCCATACTCCTGGGATGCTGCCACTAAGCATATCAGCCAAAAAGCACCTGAAGCTGCAGCAGATGATCTGCACTCTGGATTAAGGCCCTTCACCCCTTTGCCCTTTACCCGCTTTCAAAACAGCCAGTGGATGCCTCAGTGGGTTTTAGAAGGCAAGGGAATAAGCCAGAAGGATCCTTCGTACAGACCTTGGCACAGAGACGCTTTCAAGAACAAGCAGAGGTTCTGAACCATGCAGCTATGTATTTTCACTCTTGCTGTCAGCTACCTCTTTTGCCCATGCAGAACATGCACCTCAGCAGGCCACCTCTGAACCACAACAGCGCCCTACAAGTCACAGCCTCCGTGTCTCCACGCTGACCACTTTCCCAGACCGAGGAATCAAGTCACTCACTGAAAGATTCAAAGCAAGCCCACAGGACCCCCAGGATTAACTAGACTATATATTTGGCTACTGAACCACAATGAGACAGTGTGGGTGAGGGAACGGGGTGGATCTGCCATTATCCCATGCCTTCCCTACAAATGGAGCAAACATTAACTGCTTGCGATCTGCACTGATTTCACAAGCATTTCTCAATGTTTCCCAGTCTCTTGCCAAAGCTTCATTTTGCTGCTTGGTCAAGGGTTGGAGAGATTTAAAGAGATGAGAGATAGGATAGATAAGTACACACGCACAAAACCCCAGTGCTAGCACACTACTGCAAACAGCGAGTACCTGGAGCCCTCCAGGCCTCCTAGCTCTACCAGCATGCTGGCAACGGAGGATGTCTCAAATGGAGCACAGGATAAGAGTACACACAAAGAGATAGTACCTGCCCCATGCTGTTATGCACTATAATGATCCACCTGTACAGTATGCAGAGTCCTACAGCACCAAGGTTGATAACTCAGAGTGATAAGAGCAAACTGCTTGCATCATGGAAAATAATGGTCTCCAGTAAGCGTTTCTCAAGTGCCTTGAACTTGTGACAAACTGGCATAAAGGTTACTTTGCCACAAAAATGCAAAAGCTTCAGGGCTTGGAGCTCACAGCCCGCAGTTAATTGTTGAAAGTTAATTCTAGGTCATGCAGGGCTGACAGTGCCCCAGTGCTGAAGTGATGAGAGCAGGTACAAGAGGGGAGGAGCTTCCATCCAAGGAGTTTGAAGTGTCAAAGAGTGTGAGCGGCTATTAAAAGAGAAAGTGGTCTGTGAAAGGGAAATGTAGCCTGGCAGGCATGGACTGCTTGTTGGTATTCCTTGTCTAGAAGACAGCATGTTTCTGTTCCCTGTTCCTTCCCCTCCTCTTCCCTCCTCCCCTAAGTCCAGTATATCTCCTATCTATTCTCCTATCTTGTCTGTGGCTACCTCATTCTTCCTGTTCCCCTTCAGAGTGACCTTAGTTACTGCCTATGTTCCAACAAGTTGAACAATTTAATATGTGGGAAATTCTGCAGGCACAATGACAGTTGCTGAATTGCACTGTTGATTATTCACATTGTGCCAGCAGAAAGGACTTGGGAACTCTAGCAGAAAAGGCACAGTTCTGGATAAAAATGCTTACAGATCTACCTACATCAAGGGGAGGGATGGAAGGTAAGAGAGAGGGAAAGCATCAGTTACCTGTACAGATCAAATGCTCCCCACCACACCAGTCTGGGGCATAAAGAAAGCAGAAACCAAAACAGAGTAGAAAGCTGAAGTGAAACTGATCAATGCCTTACACACTTTTTTAAATGTTTGCACTACCCAAGCAGCTGGATTACACCAGAGAATCCAGACTACAGATTGGCCACAGAACAGCACATTCAACTTCTTTTGCAGAGCCTTTACTTTCACCGCTGCACTCCAACAATTATACGTGCGATCTGGAAGATATGACAAGACCAAATCCTTCCCATAAAGAATCCAGGAGTTTTCACCTTTACTTTAACACATGATGATTTTACAAAGTCTGAATCAGCCTCTGAAAAGGAAACAGGGAATCTTTCCCTAGCTGCCAGTCAGAAAATCCTGCCAGGAAAGGTATGTTGCCTTGATTTAGCTGGACACAGAGCAAGACATTGCACATGGAGACTGTGCAACACTCCATAGTTCATTTGCACAGTTAGCACCCAAACCAAACTGGAGCACATGACTGAGGTACAGCCATCCCCACAGCAAAGCCCTGCCCCTGCTACCATACCTACACTTCTACCCCTATGTACTGGGAGTCATATTCCACACTTTGCCAGGCTGATTCAGTCTGTGCTTCCTTTCCATTAGCTGTGTCAGGGACGGAAGAAGGTCTGTCTTTCATGGGGAAGCACAGGAAGGTCACCAAAGGACTAACACCACTTGGCCTGCTCCCTTCCTGCAATTTGGGCTTCAGCCCACGTTAGAAGTTAATCCTGCAATTAACCCACACCCCTACCCTGCAAAACACCTTCAGATTTGAGTCAGAGGTTCTTCATTGTGAATGGAGAGGGAAGCAAGGTTAAAACTCAGTCAGAGCCCACATTAACTCTTCGAGGCAGACATAGACACAGTAGGCAGGATTCAGTCCAAATTTGGAGCAGTCGAGTGGGAACATGCTGGACTAGAAAAGGAGAAAGTCTATGATCATTCTGCCTCCCTCCCCATCAATGGCTTAGGAGCAACACAGACACGCTGTTCTTTTAAAAATAAAAGTGCAGCCACAAGTGCTGGTGGTTTCCTTTATTTATACCAGAAAATCTTTTCTCGTGGAACAAAGAGTGTTTGTCTGACTCCTCTACAACTTCCCGTGCCACAAAACATGTGGAAGGCTCTCTTGAGCACAAAAGGGTAGGGGCTGAAGCTAAAATTACAGTCTCCAACCAGAGTAAGTTCATCCCAAATAAAGACCTGTCACCGCTTGAAATCTCAGAGCAAGCACAAAATGGCCAAAGACACAAAACCACCTTTCGCACCAAACCCAAAGCCCCAAAGAGCTTCAGCAGAAGGAACTACACGACTGTCCTTGTGTAACAGAGGCTCATCACTGTCTCCTCTTCACAAAGGAGAAACTGAGGTATAGAGACAGGACCTCTAAGGTCAAACAGCAGGACAGAAGGTAATGCCAGGAGTCCTGACTTCTAGCTCACCAATCCATTGCAGAACCAGAAATAGCACCAAGACAAGACACCTATAAGTCTCACCGCTTATACTGCCAGACCAACTTCTCCTGCAATTCCATCAGCCTTCTTGTGACAGAAGTTAATTCTGTTTGATTCTTCCCCTCCCCAGGAGGGATTTGTCGGACACAACGAATGGCAGAGATGAGGACACTAGCTCTTTTCTACCAACAGCAGAGGACTGGTTACCAAAATAAGCCTCACAGCAGGCTCCATCTTGATCCCTCTGGAGGCACTGAACCTTCTTCTGTTGACTTCAGCAGGAGCAAGGGTCAAGCGCAACAGGCAGCAGCCTGCCAGCAAATCAGAAATTTCACCCATGCAAAATGGACACCTATCGCAAACACAGCCTGCCACAAACCTCTGGCAACACACATGCAGTCTGTCACACCAATAAAGTTACAGAAATTGAAACTGACTGCTACCTAAGGGGAAAAAAAAGAAAAAAAAAAAAAAAAGCCAATCTGGAGCCACACTGCTGGAGCCCTCTGCTGACCTCCGGCTGGAATAACGCTGAAGGTCACAGCCTGTGGGGACCCTGCAAGACACTAGCCAGACCCTGCCATGCAACGAGTGACCTGCTCTGCTACGAAAGTAAGGGGAAAACACAGTCAGGATGGTCCTAAAGCACCTGATGATCACCTCAGCCTGAAGGCTCCAAAGTCCACAGCCCTTTTACCCCACTGCTGAACTGAGGACTGTGGACAGAAAGCCAACCTCCTGACACACGCAGGGCTCCATTTAGAAAAGTTGTTTGCAGGAGGCATCTCTGACCAACCCCAGAGGGCTGACTACCCTTCTGATCTACATTTACTTTCACAAACCAACAAGGCAGAGAACACTTCCACAGCCTGGCCTTTGGGCAGCTGGAGAAACACAAAATCACAACGGTTGCAGAGGCACCACCTCATTTCCTATCAGGCAGTGGTCCCATCTGTACTGGACCACCAGGAATGAATTAAATAGAACCCATCAGATCACACTGCTGTCCCCTGCACCCGCAAAGCCTGCTAGCTCCAATCGGAGTAAAAAGGTGTATTTTTCGAGTCTGGCTTTGTACAGCACCCAGCAATATCCTGACTGGGGTACACCTGGGACTGTCGGGAAGCATGAGACCAAAAAATCATCCTGGGCGGCCCTTTTCTCCTTCTCTCCCCCCGGGGACCTGCTGCCTGGGGGCCGTTGGCTTCTGCTCTAGCCTTTGTTTGGGGATCAGCCCTGGCCACCCAGACGGGCACTGCCAGCGCCCCCGGGAAAGAGGCGGGCAGCGCAAGATGACAAATCCCTTCCTACAGCACTGTGGCGAATCCCCAGCAAACTGCTCGCTGCTACCCAGCTCTTTGTGTGCGCCCGTGTGTGTGTGTATATATATATATAAATGAGCGTGCGTATGTGCACAAGCGCACGCACGCACGCAGTTTCCCTCTGAGTTGTGGTAAGCCAGCAGCGGGCTGGGCCAGCCCTGTTGCCCGCCCAGGTTCCGCGGCCGCCCCGGCAGCCTCGATCCGGCCCGGGCCCGCGGCGTGGGGCGGTGCAGCCGCCACGAAGGGGCCGATGGCGGCGGCGCCTCCCGCCTTCTGCCCCCTGCGCCCGCTCCCCGTGAGGTGCCGGTGTTGACCGCCAGCGGCTCTGGGGGCTCCTGCCCCCGCCCGCCCCCGCCCGCCGGGAAGCCGCCCAGCGCTTACCTTCATTGGGTTTCCGCTCCCCGTCCCCCAGGGCAGGCGCAGCTTTCGACAACTGCAAAGACAACACAGAATCAGTCACAACACGGAACCGTGACGCGGTCCCGGGGCGCTGGGGGATCCCGGGGAGGGGCCGAGGGCCCCGGTCCCGCCGCCAGCGGAGAGGCGGAGGGAGCCCCGGCGGTAGAGTGCGCCCCCGAGGCGGAGCCGCTCCCCGCTGGCCGCCCCGGCGGGCACAGAGGGACCTTTTGTTTCCCCCGTCCCCCGGGGAGCCGAGAGGGGCACGGGCGGCAGGGCCGCGGGCTGGGGGGACGTGTCTGGCAAGGCGGTGCGGCGAGCCCGAGAGAGGCCCCCAAACGGAGACACGCGTCCCCGGGGAGCCGCTGTCAGTAACTGCGGGCAAACACCGGGAGCAAATCTGAGCCCGGAGGAGAAAAGTAACAGGAGTGATCTGCTGCCACCGACACGACTGGTGGGCCTGGGCACCGCTTCCTCCCGTAAAGGTGAACCCAGCAGAGGGGGGGAGAAGGGCGGCCAGGCGTGAAAGGGCATCTCTCCCCTCTCAATGTCACACATGTCTATCGCCCAGCAGTGGTGGCCACCGAGGTGTCGGCATCTGGCCGGGTGTCAGGGCGATTAACTGTGACAGCACCACTTTGCCGACAGACGCAGCCAAACCGCCCAGGTTTCCTTCCTCTGCTGGAAGGGAGGGTGACGCGCGCTCTCGCCTAACGGTCCCGGTCTCCAGCCCCCGCGTCGATCCCATTCCTGCGCTCCCCGCGGCTTCCCCTGGACGGGAATCAGAAAGGCCTCAAGCTCCGCATTCACTCCTGCTGCCTCTTGGGACAAGGGGCATTTCCAAACCACTGACGCAGGCAGCTGTGGTGACAGGTAACCCACCCCCAGATCTGTATGGAGAAGCATTACACCACTTTACTAAGGAAGTCTTTTTAATTCCAGGTGAAACAAGAACTCCACTCCTCCTGCTATTCGTGAGGGCTTTACCTCTGACGTAACTTTCCAGCCGTCAGGTTTCCCCCTGCTGTTCTGTTCTGAACCAAAATGAAAAATGCCCAGCAATCTTCACTTCTCCCGAGGTACGCTGCCACCTGTGTGATGTCATTCACCCCAGAACTTGCCGCCTTTCACCAGAGGCCCAAAAGGAGCGTAGTGATACACACAAAGCTTTTAGGCTTAGAAAAATGCCCTCTGATCTCACAGCCAAAGACAGAGCTGAATTAAGAAGGCCAAGTCCACCCCAAGCTCATAATGTGAATCAACCACCTATGGTCTTCTAGGCAGCTCCGTGCGCAGGGCAGCACCAGCATCCGAGCTGCCCAAAGTGTCAGCTTTTAAAAGAAGGGGGCAAGGGAGCAAGCTAGAAGCCCCTCTCCCAGACATTCCTTTGTGTCTGTACACAGTTCCCTTTACCTAAGGTTCCCCTGACCAAACTTGCTTTTCATTTCAACCAAAGTCTTTCTGTACCTGGGCATAACTCACCAGCCCAGACCTGAACCTCCCCATGCGTGGATCTGTTTCTTCTCTGGGGAGGAGAGGGCTGTGTGCTGAACCTCAGTGCTGTGACAAAACTTTAAAAAGCAGGTTCCTAGAAACAGTTTCATTCCTGAAGTGTAAAGGTCACTGCAACAGCACAAACAAAATGGAGGCAGCGGAGGTTGCAGCGGCCTTCCAAAGCCACTCAGCGCCTGACAATCTATGGAAAAGGAAAACCGCATCAAGGGCAGAAAAGCCTCAATCTGCTACGGCACAGGAAGAGGATCACGAGCCGAGTCAGTTTATCCAAGTCACAATGCCCCCAAGACTTTTCGCAGAGGGATTTTTGGTTCACACACAAAATGACCATGACAGACTGAGCAAAATGAGCTCAGAGTCACCTTGAGGGACATTTTCACCCATTCTCTATGCAAGGCTGCCCAGCGGGCTGCCAAGCCCACCACCTCCTCGGATGCAAACACACATGGTGTACAAGTAATGAGAAGCAGAAGCAAGCCACACGCTTTTACTGCTCACCTGTGCCTAGCCAGCACCTTGCCCTGCCGCGATGTAGTGGAGCAAGAGCCAGAACAGTCTTCCAGTGCTCACCTAGACCTGGGATGTGATCCCACATCAAGGATGGGCAATGAGATCGGTGCAAAGTGTGCAGAGAGCTTCTGAGCATTCCCAGCAGAACTCTCAGCAGAAACTAGAAAGGTTTCCCAGAACTATCAGTAACACACTCTCTGCTCGCTATTCCAAGAAACTTTTCTGCCCTTTCAGCAGTGCCTTTCACCTGTGGCTAGTGCCCTCAAAGCACGTCCACTAGAACAGAAGGTGAAGGGAGTCTTGTGCCTCACTTTAAACCAGTCTGCTACATATCAGACAGGGCAATGGGGAACCAAAAACATTCCATGGGACAAGCAGGCCCAGTGTGCCCTTCGGTGGGAGCCTGAAGGTCACATTCTCCTCTGCTGGCTTTTAGCATTACCCAACAGTTCTGTAACACAATTTTTTTCCAACAGATTTTCAACATTTCACAGAAGTGTGGAAGTAACCCCTGGCCTGGCCTTGAGAGTGGGATAAATGACCCCAGGAATGAGGCTGACAAAGAGGAAGCTTCTTTCTGTGCCCTTTGCAGGTCGCAGCTAATGTACATTCCTGCTGTGGAGTAAAACCCTCCCTAAGAAATAAACCCACTTCACACCATCCGTGTGTCTGTACCTTCCCTGTCTTCCTTCTCCCCTAAGGGAGCAAGCTTTTCTCTGAAGGGAGAGAAAAGGTTAATCAAGTCATTCCTCTCTAACCATCCCCTCACCACCACCACCAGCACTCTTTCTCTCCCTTCCCCTCCCCCTAATCTGTGCAGCCTCATTAAAAGAGCTTTGTAACTGTTTAGGACTGGAACAAACAATCCATCCACTTTGAGAGGGACTCTGGGACAGGAGTTAAGGCACTTTTCGTCTTAGGCACTAGAAATTCTCAGAGGTTTCTACTTAGAGGAGGGGGGGACGGGACTCACTACACTCCTTCTCCATTGTACATGCAGACAGAGGTCAGTAATCCCAGAAACTGCCAGCACAGCTGAGGTACCTCTGACAGAACAGAACAGACAGGAAAATGGGTTTGAGGTTGCTCAGGAATCAGTGAACCCCTCACGTGGCAGCACGGGCTTCCCTCTCCCCTGCTCCCACAGGAGCGCTCCTGTTCCCAGCCTGTCCTCAGACCATGGGCCTGGAACGGCTCTGGGGAAGGTGACCCGCTGCGTCCCAGCTGCCTACAGGCTGGGGAAGCAGGTTCTGGTGGCTCCCCATTGTGGCCTGGTGCAGAGGCACACCAAAGGCAGGGAGCCTGGTGGGTGTGCGATCATTAGCAGTCTAGTCACAGGCTTGCTCTCCCTCCCTCAGTGTCTAATCACTGCCTGTTGCCTGTGGCAATACACTTGGTATATCCAGGTCTCTCCACTGTTCACTGCAGGAGAGTAAGACTCTCAGACCCTTGTCAGGGGTTACTTGTCACCAGGCTGCCAGCAAAACCCGCAGAGAAAGGAAGATGGGGAATGACCAACTGTCCCCCATTCTTTAGGAAATGGGTGACTGGAAGAGGACAACAATGTAACCTCTCTGATCCCATGGGGCATGAGGACTGTTCAGTACAGCTCAGCAGTCAATCAGCTGGGAGGGCAGCACTGCAAAAGCACCTTTCCCTCCCTCTCCTGCACGGAAAGGCTATCACCACCAGTGGAGGCAGACACCTGTGGCATCGGCACCACCCAGACCCAACTATGAAATAATTTCCCACCATCCCAGTCTTGCTGCAGGAGTGACCGTAACAACTCCCTCAGTAAGGAGTCATCCCCCTGCCACCTTCACCAGAGGAACACCTTGATTCCAGCATCCCTCTTCCTTCACTTCCAGGAAAGCTGCCCAGCACATGCTGGACCCTGCTTTCCCAACTCAGACTCTGCCAGAGCTTTTATTTAATGCTCTCTAACGCGCCTGGCTAGCTAGATAGGTTTTATTCAGTATGACAGCCAGATTAACAGTACAGATAAATATTATCATCAAAGCACAAAACCCTAGTCCCGGCGTGAAGAGTCATGCCTTCTGCCATGCCCAGAGTCATCGTCAAGCTGCCTACGTGAGATCTGCTGGTATTTCTAACGTTCCCATCACCGTGGTGCCCGGACGATCAACGGACAAATAAGGACAGAACCGAAGGGCAGACCTACCCGTCAATCTGCCTGAGCACTTACATGGCCCACATCACCCAGGTACCCGAACCTCTACCAATCTCTCATGCATGTGTTCCTGCAACATTTACCCCCAAACCCCTGTAATTTTTCCCTACCTTTTTTTCCCACCATTATACTCCCTATTTTTTCATCTGCACCATCCTCTAGCTTGGGAGAAAAGGCAGCATGAGGCTTTTATGCAGCTCCTGAGGACAGATAGATCTAGACTCTACCTGATCCACTGTTTCCTCTTCTGGGGAAGAGGAAGGGGAGGGGAGAAGGAACAAGGGGAGGGTTAAAGGGTATTATCACTAGACACTGATACAGTTGTCTAACCTATGGCTGGGGAACAGATGCTACTGTACAAGTTTGCTGAGGAGCCAGGAGGCAAAAAAAACCCTGTCCTGGGTGACTGTGGAAAAACTCTTGGAGAACGGAAAAAATTGTCCCACAAGCCAAATCTGGCAGGCAGGCAGCACGGAGCTGCTCTGTGCCACACTCAAGTGAGAGCTGCGCCTCAGTTCCCATCCAGCACAGCCTAATGTGCGGCTGTCACTGGATAAAGTAGAGATATAACAGGCTAGAAACAAAGCGTGCAGTGCTTGCATGACTTCAGTTACAGCTGAAATGGCTCCTAATTGGGGAGTTGCCTTCCAGCATCGGTGCTGAACAAACAATGTGAATAACTGATTAGTTTGCAAGCGACGTTTATTTTCATGATTATGGGAGATGATCTGGCCCACGCTCTCTCCAAGTGCCGAGGAGAAATGGCAGGAGAGAACTAACCTGTTATAACCTTTAAAACGTAATCCATGCCTGCCTCACGAACAGCCACTTTCACGTGGGCACTCTGTCTAAACCCCTTAATATCTCTTGGCAACACAGCCCTCTTGACTCTTTAGAAAACAGATTTATAGGACAGGTTTGCACAGGAAGCTGCCTTTCTTTTTTCTTTAAAAAGAGGAAGAAAAGGAGAAAGAGTTGGTTTCTAATCCGTCAGGAATGACAATGAGGTAAAAGTGACTGAAGAGGAAGAGAAGAGAAAAATCCACGGTTTTGTAATCTCGGTCCAGGAGATATGTATTTTGATTAATTTTTTTTCCCAATCTGGAAGAAAATCAGGATCCATTTTGTCCTCTTTGATCTCTATTTGTTTTTCCATCTAGGCATTTTCAACTCCACTCGGCGGTACAAACCCGAGCTGGGACCCAAGGCAAATACCGCCGAAACACCCTTTTGCAATGTCAGGAGACCCGAGGACGGGAGGCGAGGCTGATGCAAGAAGCCAGCGCGCTGCCTCCGTGCCCCGCGCCCCGCCAGCCGCAGCGCCCCGGCCCCAGTGGGACCCCCCGGCCGCGCCGCCCCGGGAGCCCCGCGCCGCGCCGCGCACATGTGCGCGGACACTCCGTATGGCGCTGCCGGCTGTCCCGGAGGCCCGCGGAGATCCGGGCAGCGCTGTCCCCCCAGCTGCAGCACCGCACGCACACGTGTCTGCGCTGCGGGCACCCACCCGCACCCGGCGCCGACAGGGTGGCGGCACCGCACCGAGCAGGTGGGAGGCAGAGGGGGGGACAAGAAAACAAAAAGAGGGGGTAAAAAAGTATTTTCGGCCGTCTGCCCTCCCACCCCCTCCGGTACGCGTGGCACAAAAGCCCCCGTCCCGCCGCTTACCTCCGCGCTCTGGAGATAGAGCAGCGCCGCCAGCCCCCAGTGGATCCAAGTGAGCAGAAAGTTCATGGTTGCCGGCGCACGCCGCGGAGCGGGGCCTGCCGCGCTCCGCCTCGCCGCCGCCGCCCCGCCGCCGCCGCC